TTTTTTTTTTGTTTTTTTTAACCCCCTGGGTAGATCTCTGGGAGATATCAATCAAAGTAGGTGTGTGGGTATGGAGGAGCTTCATCCCTGAACAATGTCCGAGGTAATAACAGAATATACTAAAGTATTGGTATCCACATCTAAACCAACAATGTTTCGGATCGTAATCGAATCAGATTGATATATTGGTATCGCGGCGATAGTCAAGACTAGGCCGATTTACAAAAAGAGAGCATTAGCAAATATCACAGATCGAAGGTCTTATCGATTGCCATTAATCATTAAAACTAATCTCACTGATAACAGAGCGAAGCAGAAGCCCAGTATCGCAAATGAGCTGGTATCATCCGAAGCGAAGCAAATGAACATGACAAGAACAAAGGAAAATCGGAATAATCCAAAACGCCATCGCAGCGAGCATGCAGCGTTCCAGGCCGCTTAACCCAGTCGAAGAATAGATGTACGGGTTGCCAAGTAGTGGGGTTGCATTAGGTTAGCTTGAGCCGGAGCTCGGCGGAACAGTGCTGACAACAACATCATAATCGCGAGTTCGATCCCAAAAAAATTGCTACCTCATGTAACGGACCGCGCGACAATGTAAAATTTTCGACCGGGCGCTCTGGACCGAAACGGACACGACGACAGAAATGGGGAGAGCTGTCTAGTACTTGAAGATAATGTACCTGCAGAAAATATTAGCAACGTGGAAATAGGATGAAAAAGCAGATACGTACAAGGCGTGGATGATACCAGGGATCCAACCCAGAATGGTCAAACAGATGTTGATGAGCAGATCAGCACCGCATCCTCGCTCAAGGAAGACACCCAAGGGAGGGAGGATGATCGCGAAGAGGATCTTGCAGATATCACTACACCCCAAATTAGTTAATTGAGCTCTTGTCCCATTTTGTTGCCCGCGTGTCTTTGTATAGATCTGGGCGCAAATGATAGGTACGTGTAGAGATATGGGTAGAGATACATATGGTCCCCCGAGGGGGTGGTGACGACGGCAAGGAGCTGACTTACGAAGCAGTGAAAGGCATTGTGACGTAGAGTGGTTGTGAGCGGAATGGGTGTTAAGACTCTAGACACAATAGACAGGTGAGTGATTGCAAAACGGTCCAATGGTTGATAGTAGTATTTGGAGGGGAAGGAATCGAGAGGAAAAGGCGGGAGAAGAAACGAAGGGCTCTTTAAATGATTTAATAGATCATGGGCGGCAAAATAACGTGAGAGAGAACGTCGGCCCAGAAAAAAGGCCAAGGCAGTGATTTCTCGCTTCCGATGGGCTAGACTAGACCACTTAACTTGACTAGTCGGAGAACTAGGTTAAAGGTACTATGGAATTCTTTCTTCTTCGGGTGCTGATGGACTAGGGAGGTAGTATTTAGCCCCCTTTAGTCAGGACCAGAAAAATGATGATGCTTCTTGAACAGAACGTCCTACGTCATACGTCCACTTTTGCCAACTGCGGCTCATGTTACTCCCAATTGGAGGATGATGTGCATCAAGCCTACCGAGTTCTCTGATCCTCATTTCCCCTTGTCGGGTGACTCTTGCGTCGTTTGGAGTACTTCTTGTTCTTTTTCTTATTCTTACCCCTTCTCTTCTCTTTTCTTTTCTTTTTTTTTTCTTTTGGGTGGCAAACTGAAGGCCAGAGGGACGGAGTACAAAGGGAAAAAATAAAAAACAAAATAAAAACCAAAATGAAGGTGGCTTGTTGGTGCTTGGCAGCGCTACCTGATCCAACAATCACAGGTAAGGGGATTTTTTCTTCTTTTCGTCGCCCAACTACTATCGGTTTGAATCTTGTTGCCTGGAAAAGCTTGGCGATTCCTTTCTCTGAGATTTGAAGAACGAGCCACAGGGAAAAAATAATAATAATAAAATGTGAGATAAAACAAAACGAAAAGAAAATCATAAGACTAGTAATCATCGTCATAATGCATTTCAATTATTTTCTATTTTTATCCTAAATCAAAAGCATCCTTTCACATATGGTTGTTGTTATCCAAGACGTCCATTGTCATCTATCAAATGGGGTGGGCCGCCCACAGCCCTATGATCATGCTATAATGTATCTACCTATATGGTAATCTTCACTAAGGATTCTCTGGCCTCCACCGGTGCAATTACCTAGCGCCGGGATTTCTTGTGAACTGGTATCATGACGCTCGGGATGAAAATTAACGTCCACTAATCGTCATCACCAAATCGCCGTTCTACTTCAATTTTTCTTAAGCCACGCACGGGGTACGTCATCGAGGTTCTTCTAATCAAGTCTACCAATGAGATTTCAGGATACAAAGATGTACTTAAGGGACGATGTATTAAACAATTTAGTCATGTATCGAAGATCTGCTGGCCAAGGGACCCCCAGCGTTATCTTGAGCATAACTTACCTAGTTATTTTTTTTCTTCTCTAGAGATAGAAGTTTGAAAGGAAAGAGAGAAGAAAAAGGTAATAAAAGGAAATAAAAATCAATCCAACAAGCCCCAAACCGCACCGACATGCCTCACCAAGGCTCTCCCAGAATGAGCTCTTTGTTCAAAAGCACTTACTTGAGTGGTGTGGCTGTTGTTCTAACCACACCCCTGTACTTGTACTGTTATTTGTCGCATGAAACAAAGATGTGCTGTACAAGAAATATACCGAATGTTGGGTGGTAACCCTACTTCGCTGGGGCTTCTAGAAATCCTGGTCTTGGCAGCCGAAACCACCATCCCGGAAAAACCAAAAACAGAAAAGAAAAAAATGTCGTTAACCAGATTCCTTCAATTCCCACGCTTCATATTATAAGGCAGTGTTCCTTATCGATAGTCCTTAGGCACAAGGGTTTTACTTTAATGATTTCATGTCAATGATACTTGTCCATCCCAGCACGGTTAGCTATCAAACCGACAGATGTCCAGACCTCGTCAATTGCAGAAGTTGGGCCCATATCTACGGAGACGCAATGTTCCGCAAAGGTGCTTTGCAACACAGCGAAAGACGGCCTCCTTCGCCTACACATGGTTAACGAGGACTCCTGAAGTGATTGTAAGCGTCCCCGGTCTTCGCAGGAGGGCGCGATCAGCTAAACGTCGAAGAGACCGCGAATGATGTCCTTTCGAGCCTTCCTTCTTTACCGCCGTCACTTACACAGCCGAATCACGTTCCTATTTTCCTCCTAACCCCTTTTTTTTCCCAATGGGCCGATACAACAAACCCATTTCTCGAACATTGTATCAACCGGCTTTACTGCAACACCCCGGCACGTGATTCTACCGAGCCTGTCCACGCCATTGTCGCAATCGTCGATAAATTGCCTGACAATCTACCAGAGCTCAAAGATACAACGAATAACGGCATCACGGGGGAGTCCGAGGGGTTGGCTCTGTTATTTGTGCCAACAGAGAACATACAAGGAAAAGCTGCGGCACCTCGGCGCATTAGGAGCTCGGAAGCTGAGGAATCAGCTCTTGTATTTTCATTCCAGTCGAATGTTTCGGACAATGCGGCTCTCCGACGTGCAGCCCATGAAATCGGGCTGCGTCTCGCCAATACACTGTTCATAAATGGCAAGGAAAGCACCCTTTTTGGAACTCGTTGGTCCTACAATCCTTCTTCATCCAATTTCAACTTCAATCGGTCGATCGAGCTTTCACGGTGTAGGGTAGTTTCTACTGCGGGCTCTGTACGCAGTTCACTGAAGCTTCCTTTACACCCAGTCGGCCGGCGAAGGGAGGTTATCGCTAGCATGGGAAATATCCTCCGTCAATTGGCAAAACATCCGAATGGTACATCGAAGGACCCGATGCCAGCTTCATCCGAATTAGAGAAAGAGCTTCCCCGCTACATTGAAGAGCACGATATCGCCGATCATAAGGTTTCAGTATGGGCTTTGGTCCAGTCTCCTTCATATAACTGGCAATCAGAAACAGATGGCTCTCCGGGTGGACTCATGGAATCAATCGGGGTCGGAGGTAAACTTCACCGCGTCATGAGCGGTGGGGGTGGATGGGGCAAGAAGCAAGGCCTTTTATCTTTAGATTACGAAACCAGCTTTCTAGAACCATACGCTGAGGACGGATTTTCAACACTTACTACCCTGTTCCTGCCCAATAGCACGAGCACGATGCAAACTGCACCGCCTTCTCTTGCTATGGGAACTGTGGAGGATGATCTGTCGTCTTTATCACAAGTGGCAAAGGCTGGGGACTATATTCAATTTTACGTTTCTGTCAAGCCAGACCATACGCAGAACGGGCAGCTGGAGATGCGAAGTTCTCAGGGGGCAGTCTCGTACCATTTTGGTGTCGTCTCTGATAATGAGATGCCTGCGGACCACAAGGAAAACAGTACACTAGAAAAGGATTTAAGAGCCATGCCTAACTACTTTGGGGCACTATCCGAGAAAGCAATGACCTATTCACAACCTATCACCCCAACAAAGTCAGGTGAGGAGATTCTGGGGTCTGGTACCAAACTTGATATCCCGGGATCGCGGGTTGAATTAGTGGTCACATCAAGAGAACTATGAGCAAAAGACCCATCTATGTTTAGCTAACTATGTAAAAATAATCAATTGTAATCACACGAACTTCGTAGTCTCTAGTTATCATAATGCGTCACCGACATAGACAAGACTCCGATGAGCGACGCCAAGTCCGGGTCACGTGGCAGCACATGCGGTCTGTCAGCCGCCCCGAAGCAACGTCCAGCAACACAGTGTTCGCCTCAACTCCCATCAACAACCGCTAGTATTCGCATCACCGCAACTCTTGTCTACGCGGCGCTCACCCGTCTGTTCTGTTTCTATAACCCTTCTTTATATCTTCCTTAATAATTTTTCATCTTCCAGACTCGCCAGACTCGCCTAGTCTCTCAAAATGGCCACAGAACTTTGGTACGTAATCTCCTGGTTGACTCCTATCCTGGTCTTTTGGTCACTATGCCATACGTTCGCCGATAGTGTAGCGTGTAAAGTGTCTGTATGTTCTTCATGTTAACTTGGTCATCTTATAGTCCCGTCTATGCGGTGAGTCCTTCGCAGTCTTTCGATGCCGATGATCCTAGCGCTCCAGCTAGCCACGGGAGCCTCTTGGCCAACTTCTCCCAATGCTTGAGATAGTGTGTAGCCAGCTTCAGGAAATATGACTAATTTGCTTCATTGGGATAGCCCTTCTTTGGTGCCCTGGGTTGCACCTCAGCCATCGTGTTCACCTGCTTCGGTGCCGCCTATGGAACCGCTAAAGCTGGTGTCGGTGTTTGTGGCATGGCTGTCCTCAGACCCGACCTGATCGTTAAGAGTTCGTTCAAGTCCCACGTGAAGCTCTTCCGCCAAGGGCTTGTTGCTTGTAAGCGTTAATGGCTCTGACGCTGGATTATTACAGACATTGTTCCCATCGTCATGGCGGGTATCATTGGTATCTACGGACTGGTCGTGTCGGTCCTGATCGCAAATGACTTGCAACAGCTTGTCCCTCTATACACTGGTTTCATTCAGCTCGGAGCAGGTCTCGCTGTCGGTTTGGCTGGTTTGGCAGCTGGGTACGTCTCATCTTCGATGAATCTCCTAATTTCCATTTCACGAAAATTAGGTACTAACTATATGCGCTATAGTTTTGCCATCGGTATCGTCGGTGACGCTGGTGTCCGCGGAACAGCTCAGCAACCCAGACTCTATGTCGGCATGATTCTTATCCTCATTTTCGCAGAAGTTTTGGGTGGGTTTACACCTCTGTGAAATACTTGGTCTCCGGTACCAGTTTGCTAACTATCGTTGCGCCATGAATTAGGTCTCTATGGTCTCATCGTTGCCCTTCTGATGAACTCTCGCGCCAAGATCGATGCCAAGTGCTAAGTTACGTATCCGAACAATCATCGTGCGAAATCGTTTAGCATATCCTCTTTGCGCACGGAGTATATTGGATTGGTGAACGTGACATCTTACTCTTTTGAACGATAACATACATATATTGTCACGAGAGCTAAGATGGGGATGGAAGCTTTCGCTTGTTGTTCAACTGGTCAGGAACTATAGTTCCTACATGCAACCCGAGGCTGTATAGTAGGATGGATGGGAAGTTGTGGTAGATACACTGCATGGCTGAGGCCTGCGCTGTACCTGTACTTTATTGGAGTCGTTGTGGCCTTGGATTGGATCATTTACATTGCAATGCTGACATGCTGTTTATGCAGTTATTTGCTGTTTGAGTTAAAGCTACTTGCTTTCAAGCTTTGAGTTCGGGGTATTACGTGTTATTTGGAATTAAAAGACCTCATACTATCATTCTGGTGCCTTTTGAGTCTCATTACGCTGTATAGTCCATTTAGTATTAGGTTGACTACTAGACGTTGTAAGCTCCTGCGTTCGATCATAGACAGAGCTTCACACATTAAAAGACAAATTCTTACTTTATACGTGCATGAACTCGCTTTGCTTGCTTATCCAGTAGGCGGTGAGCATCAGTTACAAACTCCAGTGTGCAATTAGAAATTTGAATGTCGCGCAATCACATTAAAAATACAGAGCTATGTCCATCCTAAACGATCAATCAAGATTATATAAGAAAATAGTCATGTAAATGATACTGTCTATAGAGTGGGCAATGCATAGAAACGTGCAGTATTCGAGAGGATATGAGTATACCATAGAAACCACGGCATCAAACCTGAAGAAAGCACCTAACGAATCACCAACGGGTTCAAATCCTGACAAGGTGGCAATGTACAGCTCCAAGATGTCATAAGACTTGAGACAAAGTGATTAGGGTTGGACAGTGCTAGAGAAAGGAACTAATTAAAGTCACATCCTGATCAAGCCTTGTCAAGCTTGCGACGCAAGGTTCTCGTCTTCCGCAACAGCTTCTTGTACTTGTGCTTCTTCATCTTCAACTTACGCCGTCTCTTGGTGCTGATCGCTTGCATGGTACGGTTGTTGCGCAGGCGCTCGATATAGGTGGTTCCGGGTTGGGAGGGTACGTCGATGATAGCTTCGCTTTCACCAGTGCCAGGGGCATCCATATCCGGAGTACGGACGAAAGGCCCAGTATGAGCTTCGTACGTCTTACGACCGTCCGCGTGTGTAGACTCGTGGATTGTCAAAACGGTAGAGTAACTGGAGGTTTCGCGAGAAGAGAAGTTTTCCAGCTCCGCAGCACCAGTATCTTTCGACTCGTTAAAGGGAACCGGTGGCGGCGGGGGGTGGAACGGACGAAGTCGCCTTGTAAGTTCCTCGACAGAAACCTTCAACTCCGCCATGTTCATTCCGTCGAGCTGGCTACCCTCCATGTCGAAGTGGTTCAGAGAGCCTTCTTGCTCGCCTAGATGATAGGCAGGGTTCTCCATGGAGTTGAGGGTAGAGGATAGAGTGAAGATCACATCATCCGCTTCATGTTTTGTTGACTTCTTCGCGGTGAATATGGCATCGAACGCTTCCGGGCTAGAGGGAGGAGGGACGGTAGTCGAGACGGAAATAGGTCGGTGGATAGAAAAGAATGAAGCTACATGAACATCTGCATCGTGACGAGACTGTTAGTCAGAGAGCACTCCAAGACTACATCCGCCAAAAATAAGCGCTATGCTTACTCACCATGGGGCTGTAGGTGTTGAGTAGAGGGAACGCTGGGCAGTTTCGAGAAGACTGTATGCTGGTTCGACTTGGAACCGCTGCGGCCACTATCTTTCCCCCTTCGTCTGGAAGCCTTACCCTCGCGCTTTTCGCCGGCATTTACACCCTTTGCGGGAGTCTGAGACGAAGTGTCGACTTTTCTCGAGCCATCGCTAGGCTTCGAAGAGGAGGAGTAACGGCGCTGACGCACATGCTGTGCCGCGCCTAAGAGGGTGTTCGAGCAAGCGGGAAGAGCGTGACTGGAGGAGCGAGCGATGCCGGAAATGGGAGCAATAGGAGCCCATGCAGCTCGGCGTAACGAAGATGACAGCATTTTCCACGTCTAAAAGCCCAGAAACTGGGTGACGAGTATGTCGGGAACAACGCCGGTTAGAGTCGTCTGAGGCGAAATCGAAGTTGAGCCGATCAGGCGGAAGCCCAATTCGGTAAAGCTCCGTCTTCGTTTGACACCTAAGGCATAAAGGGCCATTAGATCAGGTGACTCGACGATCATTCCACCTGTTCTATGTAGCGCTTTACTCTACGTAATACTGTCTAATGATTATTCGATCTTCTTGGTCGGCAGAACAAGTACTTATTAATATATATAAGACCTGACCAGCATCGGTATGGATCGAGGTGCCGTATTTGGATTTACTTCATTTCACATTACCTATCTGGGAATTAACAAGTTATTCCTTATGGTTTGGAAAATAATACAAAATCAACCTCCTTTGAACAATAACAAACCAATGATGCCTCCAAGTTGAAAAATAAAGAAAAACGGAATAAAGATATCACACATACAGAGCTGCATCCCAAGCACGGAAAAGGCACCGTTATACAAAAACTGGACCGGTAACCTTCATGCTCCGGGGAATTAGAAATCCCCATACAAAGACAACAGGACTTGAAAAATCTCTCCAGCGTGGATCAAAATGATCAAGGTTTGTAAGATTGAAGATTGGCATTATGAAAGAAAAGAGAATGGCGAAGCCTTCACCACACAAAGCATTACAGCACAGGAAGGACGGGAAGGGTAAATAACGATGAAAAACGTCGAGCATAATGACTGACGAAAAAAGAAAGGGAGAAAAAATTGGTATCAATCTGCCGTGGCGTAGAAAGTAAGAAACTCGTCGCTGAATCGAACAAAAGAGAGCGCCATGTAGTGTAAGCTTTTGATGCAGGATAGCATAGCGAAACTGTAACAAAGAGTCGACCAAGTCGCTTCCTCGATGCATGTATAGAAAGTAAAGAAGGCTTGTGACGAAGAACGGAAAAGCTGAGGGGATCAGAGGGTCGTGGGGGAGATAAAAGCGCTCGAAAAATGCAACGTGAAATGCTGAGCCCATAGTAAAGACTCAGGCTCGCGGAAATCATCGTGGAAGCCAATGCAGGCGCAGCATTAATTATCATAAGATAAGAGTGTGTAAATTCTTTTGGATGATCATGTCTTGCACAGAATCCATGGTTGCTTTCAGCAATGTCGTGTCAGTGGCATTGGTGTAATGAATGTAAATTTCTCGATCAGGAATGCGATTGATGCCGCGGAACCTATCAGCGAAATATCTCGCCGCAGCGTCGAAGTCCATATTCGAACCATTGAAATCCGGGAAGTGTTTGGACACCGGGGAGACGCTCAGTTTCCCCTTGAATAGATCAATTTTGTTCAGGAAAAGGATGATGGGTTTACGCTTAAACCACTCTCCGTTAACCAGCGACTCGAACAGCATCATCGCCTCGTGCATCTGGTTCTATTGACAAGTACATTAGATAGGTACGTTATTTCAAAGGGAAATGCAGAGCCTTACAGCATTCTGGTCTTCCACTAAACATTGATCGTAACCGGATAAAGCGACCATGAAAAGAAGGCACTGTACGCCCTCAAAGCAATGGATCCATTTCTTGCGCTCGGACCGTTGGCCGCCAACATCCATCATTCGGAAGTTCATTTGGCCCAGTTCGAATAGAGTTTCTGTAATTCCTGTGGTCCTCAAGCGCGCTTGCAGCATATCCTGGTTGTCGGGGAGCCAGCCAGGGGCAAATATCCGGTCAAGCGAATCAAAGAAGCTAGTGGAAAAAGTCAGTCGTTGTCTAGCTTGTTGATGCGGGGTCAGCGCTCACTAATGCAGATTATCGTGAAGAGCAAATTCGTGCCCTCTGGCGACAGCTTTTTGGACGCCCGCATCGCTCCACATGTCTCTCATAGCATCGCGAACCTCGAGGTCGGAGAATGCTTCATCAGAGCCAACATCAGGCTCCAGGTTATCTACATAATCCGCCAACGGCTAAAGGATGGCACCAAAAGGGTTAGATCATGACGAAACATGGGGAAGGTAAAAAGAAAATTCAAGCACGGTGGGGGTATCCGTTAAATTGATTTACCTTTGTCTTTTCTTGTTCAAAGTCGATGCCTTCTGTGCGCATGATTTCTAACAAGACCTTGAATGCTATAACAACATTCGAGTATATTACTGCACGTGTTTGACGACGTTCATCTTCAGGGAAGCCTCCAGAGTGTATGATGCGCATTTGTTTTATGATAGTTGATTTTCCCGATTCACCGGCGCCTGGATGAAGACCCCAAGTGAATAAAAAATATCATCGCATGGATTTGGCCTAGGTACTTACCAAGAAGGAGAATTTTGATGGTCCTATCCATCACTTTTTTATCATTTTTCAGGACCTTGTCTATCCTGGCATTCCGCTGTATAGCATCCTTATCCGTTGTATCAACGGGCTTTGAGCTCATACAACCCATGTCGTGTCTGTTTTTTCTCGGCGATCTGAACGAGACCTGACGGTACCGATTAGTTGAAGAAGTCCAGTGGTGATGTACAAACAAGAGGGGAGTTGGGGTCAAGGTCAATGGCAGCAGGTGAATCAGGGGCCACGCCTGACAATGCTCATGACCACTCATGAAGCGATCTTCAAGGCATGCGACGACCACCAACATTGAATACGAGTGGATAGGGCTATCTCCGCCGGGAAAAGCAACTAACCGATTTGTAATAATATTATTATTTAAGCGGTGAATATTAAACGAGCAACAAAAGAAAGAAAGAAAAAGAAAAGACTCCAAGGCGTGCCTTTGCTTGCGACGAATTGGTGAATATCGGGACACCAGCTGAAACAGTTACTCGAGAGATGTATCCTGGCGTTCCGTTCGTACGACGCAACGCCCTTGATGACACGACAGAAAATTGGATGGAGCTGTCGACTAGGGTCCGGAAGATTGTAAGACGTGATACCGTCGAAAAATGACAGCCAGGTTCTCAAACCAGTGGTCCGGATGAATTGGAGACAAGAATTCCCGGAGGTAGCACAACTACTCGGTGACAAGAAAGGCCAACCCAAGCGTGAAATCGAAAAAAATAAAAATAAAAATTTTTATGGATATTAATGCAGCTCTGCGAATGTTTAAAATCAAAGTTTAGTTCAAATGAAGACCGAGCTCTAACGGCAAGATGGAGGAATCCCAATTGCGGAGGTTCGACAGATGTGAGTTGAGGTACGAGCTCATGCGATGTGTGCCGAAACCAATGGGAGACGGCGAAAAGCGCAAAGGAATGTTCTATCCAGTAGTGAATCGACCGCTCTCACAGCGGGCTTGTGGATGATTCAACGACACTTTAGGGGCGTTGAGGTGAGACGAGGACGTTGACAGTAGGTCAGCAACGATGAGGGGGGGAAGGAGTAAAGGGAGAAATAGCTCCGGGATCTCAGTATAGTAGTAGTAAGATTCACAGCTAGAAGTGGTACATCGCTACCGTTCCACAGAAATCGCTTCAGGGAGCGGGACGAAGGAACACAAGCGGGGTGGGGGAAAGGGAAGAAAGAGACCACCAGGAGTAGTACTGTCCGTAGGGTAAAGATGTGGTCACGTCGCGCAATCTGTTAGTTATATTCAATCAACCCCGATCGGAGTAAGAGACGAAAGAGAGAGAGAGAGAGAGGGGATGGGGGCCCATTTTCACAGCGGTGCGGGTAAGATAACATTAACTAAGTCCGTTTAGGTACTTTGTTGGAGTCATCATCCTACAATGGACTTTTGGTTAGTTCATTAGTTCTGCTCTGGAGTTAGATGGCCCTGACACTAAGGCCGTAAATGTCCATCCAAGCTCTCCAGCAGCAGGAGATGGATGCGTGTGGCATGTGTCGTCCGTTAGGTTCCCTTAGTTTTAGTATCCGCAACATCTCCGTCCTTAGTGAAAAGTTAGTGGCGTTAGTCTCGGCGGGTAACAACTCATTGTTACCTTACCCTATTCTCTGTGTCTCTCTCTCTTTTTTTTTTTTTTTTTTTACCTCTCTCCTTCATTCTTTCTAAGAAGAATCTAAAATTCTCGTGAAAATTTCATGTGAGTGGCCACCTTGATCCACTTGAATGAATGTCATTCGCAATTCGCTACTTTCAGAAAAACAATTGAAAGGATCCCTACTCCCTCTCCCTGTCTATATGCATATCTAGTGACTATATCTACTAACTACATCCTGTCCAGTCGGCATTTGTCTTCCCCCCCCTCCCCTCCCCTCCCGAAATGTATTAACCCTGACCAGAGTTGAACTCAGATAGAAGTCAGATCGATTTCCAGTGTCAGACACATGAACAATCAATATTAATAGCATAATAAATTCGGTTTTCCCCTGAAATGTTAACGGTGTATTAGTTAACAAAATGCAACGCCCTTCTCCTACGAAAACTCTAGCCGGAGTCTCCGATCCAAAATTTCCAAAGTTCCCACTTGCCCCCTTCCTGCAACCGAACAATGCCACGAGGTACGGATGCGACGCACGGATCGACGGATATTTGCTAGAATAAATGACGGACCTTCTTCGCCGATTCTGCCACGGCATATAAGAGAAGCTCTCACTAGTACATACCACTATTGATGTGATATGATTCCTCTATGCTTGGAATTAGTTCTATGATATTTCTTGGCTAATTTTTGGTTTTTTTAATTTTGTTTCTTTCCTTCTTTCCTTTTGCTAGGGTGTAAAAGGGAAAGGGAATTATGGGGCTGAAAGGAAATGAACTCGTAAATCCGTTCCTGATAGATCAGGTTAATTAAAGCTCGTCAGAATTGATTCGTATGAGTGTTTTGAGGGTTTGTCCGAGAGTGATCTCTTGAACCTAATACTCCATCCGCCTCGTTTAGGAACCCTCCAACCGTAATCCCGCTAATAAATTATATTGTAATATTGCCCCATACAATATATAAAGGAGGAATCATCTACATAATAATACTACGTAGCATCTTACCGAAAACAAAATACTATTTTTAAAACAGTAATAACGATGTTAGTTAATAAAATGGGAATGCCTGGGGTTTGGTCTTTACAGGACTACGAATAACTAACTGGAATGATCGTCTTATAACCCTATTATTAAGAGTTAAGTTACTAGGTAATTGCTATTGTCGAGTCATGCTGGTGGTCCCAGGTCCATGGTCGGGACCAATATCTGCTCTGTGGTTGTCACTGACTAGCTTCGCACCCCCCGAAATCAAAACCATTGCCAAACAACTTTGCTGAAGAAACCATGGAAAGTCTATTGTTACCACAGGTAAACCTTATTCTTAGATCCATGTCCTTCAGCTATAAAAAGCTTTTGTGAAAGCTCATACTCAAAGCACAAAAGCGAACAGGAAATGAGAAAAGGTAAAAAGAAAAGAAAACGTGGAAATTATTCCAACGGCAAACACATTCCTTGAAATCAGCATGTGGACCACTCGGGCCCTCGGATACTATTCTTCCGGTTTCATCGTTGCGACGAACATGGACGCCGCTCCGACACTAAGGCAGGGGGGGGCAGTCCGTCTCGAGCCGCCAGGACCCATCCCACCCAATATCTTGACGAGTCCCGAGCAAACAAAACGACTGAGCTCCCCCGTTGGACAGGTAAACAATGGCATGTAGATATATCCACGGGATCTCGTCCCTGCTCCCGATAGATATATCATATCGTTGTTCAACACTGCATAACAGATAACCAATATGATTCAAGGGTGACATGTATATCGATAGATAGACTTATCTAGATAGAAGTGATCTTTTTTTTCCTCTCTTCTTTAAGGTTCCATTTTTCTAAAAAGCTGGTAGAATGGATAGATTGATTTTTGAATTTCCACTGGCTAAGATTATTAATCATGTTGCTCCGACTCTCTCGTGCGGGTGAACCTTCGTATTCCATAAATCAAGCAGGTAGATCAACAGCCACATTAGGAACTCGTGACAAGAGTGCAATTCCTGTGCGAGGAACTCTGCAACGCCTGTGCTTCATCGAATTGTTTCTATGTAAATTGGGGTAAGAGGTGATATGGTCTAGATAAGTATATTATGGGTGTACTACTGTTATGCAACCAGTACCAACATACACGGCTTGCCCCAGCTTTCTCAAAAGAGTCGAATACACAATTTATAGATCAAGGGTAGCAGAGATCCCCGTTTCTCTGTACCAGTAAGTATAGTAATACTATGCAACTTGTTGAAGGGGAGAGGCAATATACAATAGACAGGTTAGCTCGGAATAATTGTCATCTTGTCTGCGCGCTTACCAGCATAATCCAGGTCGCGTTCTCCAGGCTTGAAGTCCCCGAGCTGGGACTAGGTAGGTTAAGTCTAGTGCTAATTGGTTTTGCCATGCAGCAAGACAATCCAGGCTGAAGGACATGGCCGCTCCCAAGCCATGTGTTTTTCATACCTCAAAGGAGCAAATGACCCTCGTCCACAGCCTGTTTCACAACATATTCCAGGCCCACATCTCGAGCGGAGTGCTTCCACAGTAAATACTTACTTATTATTTAGTTACCTACTGTCTCCGGGTCCTCTTCCAGTGCCCCCGCCGCCACTATTATTGCCTTCCAAGGCAACAAAATCAACGCTTTCTGCGCCGACCAGAGTGCATATGATATGTATGCACTTGACCATACAGGCGTGATATATCAGAAAGCCCATGTGGCCCGTGTGGAGTTGAAACTGCTCGACTTCGGCATTTTACCCTTGTCAATGCTTCTCCGTGTCAACTCCTGGCTCCTCCCCTCCCGACTGGGGGGATCCGTTCTGAAAACGGTAGTCCGGTACAGAGTAGTCGATTTTCATATAGGGAGCCTTGCGGATTGGTGGGCAGGACTGCTTAGAGTTAGATCGGAATTTATCGCGTGGTTTCTTCACCCTTCAGCCAAGCCAATATGTGCAGCTATTATAGATCCACTGTTTCCCCAACCTTAACATCTTGGGTAAATTCCGGTAGATGCATCCCCTCCTCGCAGCAAAAAGACGGGAATGAAGGTAAGACAAGGTTATCACGCTAGTCAGCAACCCTTCTTTCCATGATATAGAATTTTTCATTGGATATTTGATACTTGGACAATCTGACATATGTCATTTCATAAGTCGATTTCGATGCTAGTGCTTGGGAGAATTAGTAGCCACCTATTAGAAAACGGAAGAAGGAAAGAGGAAAGGACAGTAAAAAAGTTAATGTCCTATGACTTCTGGCCGAGTAATCCGTGGACTGTCGATCACATGCCGCCATGGAGGCAGGAGAGCATATCATTCTAGACCAGTCGCTGTACCAACGCTTATGTATCCCCTCTGCCGTGGAACCGTATCATTCGTGATTCTTCCGTAATACATATCCCAAATTCCGAAGATTATGGCAGTGATTGCCGTCCATGTACGGAGCTGTTCGTGCTGGGACTGAGCAAATAAAGCCCACCCTATCTAGACCAGGAAAACAGGCGTCATGCAATATTAGATTATGTATATACCGATTGATGTTGCAAAGCGAAATGAGGTTGACGTGCTAATTTAACATTCCCTCAATTGCCTTTCTGTCTCTGTTTGTTAAGCAACTTCTGCCACAGTATATTTCTTGACGTGAAGTAAGATAGAAAGGTACTTCAACCGTGAGCCAATTTGACATAAGCTTAAAAAGGAGTTGTGGGGCGGATGTTTGCATCGGAGGCAAATGGCATTGCGACTTGGTTGATTCAACCATCATGGAATGGTCAGTATGAAAATCGGTTCCACGGTATCGAACGTGGTTTCAATTGTCTTTCCGTCTACCTTTCTTTCTTCTCTAGTCTCTTCTCCTCCCTTCCTATGATGTTGTCTTCCAAATTAAATTTCAGTCAGCATTTATTGGGAGTAAAATGCTGAAGCTGAGTCATCAAGCGACAAACATGTGACGGCATTGATGGGGTGAAACACCTACTAATTCAGAACCCCTTGTCCCTAGGACATTCAATGCACCTCCAATATACTAATCAAGGCATTTATATGAATTTATATTTCAAGACTAGTGGGAGCTTCATTAGTCCATATCTTTGTATGTGATTATATATCGTATGAACGGTGAGATGCGCGGCCTGCAAAACAGCATTCCCAGGTCACCTCTTAGAAGGTTCGCAGTCCATGCATCCATTAAACAGCAGCAAGGTGCTAACCACGTATATACCAGCGACGAGGATATTGAAAGTACTTCTCTTTTGCGGGACCTTTCTACTCCAGAGTTTGAGAAAAGCCGACCGCTTTTTGGATATTCTGAAGATGCCGCTCGGCCTCACAACGATGAGCCCCCGGGTCCCCCCTTAAGGAGCCGCGTATCATGGTTGTCTACTTGCCGCTGTGCTCTATTTGCGATCCTGTCATTTGTTTCAATCTCTTATTACTTCTGGTTTATAATTCCTGGTACGTCACCGCTGTCTATGCCGTCTTCGCCCTCCTTTACCTAATCGCTAGCTGAATCAGACGGTCCATCCCAAAGCGTTCCTCCGCATCCTGTGGCAACTTCGATTTGCGACACCCCCGAATGTGTGCATGCCGCATCTGAAATTCTCTACAACCTCGATCCGAACCATGCTCAAATCGATCCTTGTACAGACTTTGATCAATTTGTCTGTGGGGGGTGGGGAGAGCGGCATGACATGCGCCCTGACCAGGGCTCCATATTTACCGGAACATTGATGGAGGAAGCTGGCCAAACTCACCTTCGCCACTTGCTAAGCTCCTCGAAACCTTCAGACCCTAGCGATTCAAACAACTTCGAGAAACTAAAGGCAGCGTACACTGCCTGTATAGACGAGACGACGGTCAACAAACGGGGGAGTAGACCGCTGGATGACATGTTGGCCGAGTTTGAGAAGATATATAGTCGGGATTCAATTTCTCTCAAAGGGTCGGATGCCGACCTGACAGATGCGGTACTTTATCTCATGGAATCCGGTGTCGAAGCTCTGGTATCCCCGATCGTTTCGGTGAGTAAAGTTGACCATTCCTCAACTTCGAGCTTGTCTCACATGTATAGCCTGATGACCGTGATCCGGACTCTGTCGCGATCTTTGTGAATCCACTTGGCGAAATCGGACTTCCCGCCAGAGAATATTATAATAACACGGAAACCGTTGCAGAATACACTACGGTGGTGGAGAAGGTACTTGGAGAATTCATTGGCAGTACGACAAAGCATCCCCTTCGCGACGTCGTTTCTTTCGAAGCCAAAATAGCAGACGTCACCCCGGATACTCAAAGTCAAGAAGATGTGACCAAGTCCTATAATCCGCGGACCGTCCAGGAGACGGAATCACTCCTACCACAATTCTCCATGTCAGGTATAATCTCGGCTCTGTCGCCATCGGGGTATAAGAGTGATCGTCTGATAGTGGGCTCTCCATCATATATGGAAGCGTTGTCGTCCATCTTAAATGAGACTCCGAGAGAAGTTGTCCAGCTCTATTTCAAGTGGAAGATTATACAAACCTACGCAGATGAGATTGAAGACGCGAAAATCCAGCCTCTTCGCGAGTTCAACAATAGGCTTGCAGGCAAGGACCCGCAGGCCACTGAAGAAAGATGGCGAAAATGCATTAGGTCCCTCGACGACAACCTTGGCTGGATGCTGAGTCGGTTCTACGTACTCGATTCTTTCTCCGAAGAATCAAAGCAACTGGGTGACCAGATAGTGTCAGACATCAAGGAGCGTTTTGTGTTTACCCTTCACCAGACAAGCTGGATGCCCTCCCAAGTGAGAGACCTGGCCATTAAGAAAGTTGGAAACATTATTCAGAAGATTGGCTATCCCACAAATAGTCCTGACGTGATGGATGCAGCGGACGTGGAGAAGTATTATGAGCATCTGAAAGTATCTAACGAAACCTTCTTCGAGAATACATTAGCTTCCGCAAAGTTTGACCTTCACAACGAATGGTCGAAGTTGGGAAAGCCAACGGATCGAAATGAATGGAGCATGACTGCACCAACTGTGAATGCGTATTACAATCCTCCTGGAAATGAAATTGTTTTCCCCGCTGGGATTATGCAGCCGCCAGTCTTTTACGGACCGTCTGCTCCCTTATATCTAGCTTACGGCGCGTTTGGAGCTGTTAGTGGACATGAACTATCACATGGTAAGTAGCCAACATGGAAAGATGGGGTGGATGAAGGACTCATTCGCTTACTGCTACTATAGCATTCGACTCGACGGGTAGACACTATGACGAAACTGGAAATTATACTGATTGGTGGGATGACAAGACGGTCGAAGCCTTCGAGCAGCGGGCCCAATGCTTCGTTGACCAATACTCACATTTCACTGCCCCTGAACAAAGCACGGAGGAGCCTCTCCATGTCAATGGGCGTCTCACTCTTGGTGAGAACATCGCGGATGCTGGGGGTATCGGAGCGGCATACCACGCTTGGAAAAAGCATGATGGGGTGTCCCCGGATCCTCAACTCCCCGGTCTTTCTAAATTCACTAAGGAACAACTCTTCTTTATTGCGTATGGGAACTGGTGGTGTAGCAAGTCTACTGCCGAGGCCGCTCGAGAGGCTATCTACAACGATCCACATGCCCCTAAACCAGCAAGGATTATTGTGAGTGTTATGCTTTCCCCATCTTCCTCCAGCTTTTGCCGCCAAATTGAATCATCTACCACAGTATAGCTAACCACACAAACAGGGAACGATGGAAAACTCTCGAGAATTCAACGAAGCATTCAATTGCCCTAGAAAGAAGCCTGTCTGCAAACTCTGGTAGTCTCAGTATGAAATAGTAGATGCAGATATTGTCGAACATCGAATGGCGCAATTTTGGGAGCGATTCTTGATTCAATTTACAATTCTTTCTACGCGAATGTGCTACTAGGTTGATATTTCTAAGTAGAATGAACCTTAATAAGATATCCTAAGACTTTTCTCTCGTAGATCCCGTTGGAGTGGTATATAATAGCCTGGTTACAAGTCACCGCATTGGTCAAACAGGCGATCTTACGACCCTAATGACATATACAGATATATACCCGTGACAGGTCAATTTTGGGCAGCCTCATTACGGCCAGGCGATAATTGTTGCTAAGTAGTATTTCACATGAGACAGTAGAGGCATTTTAAGTTTTGACTCTAGGTTCGAAAATCTTTTTATTTTCCAAATTAATGGAGGAATCTGGAACTAGTGTGGAGTTCGCTATGCCATGTTGGCTGTAAGATTTTCGAATTGAAGATCAGATAGTAACTACTAATTACCCATGACTCATAATAGTATCCTGATGCTGTGCGAGCAGGCCAAGGTGATGCAGTGCTGTCTAGTCCGTACCAAGTTCTCAGTAGTTGCGGAACGGCTGGGCTCTGACATTTGACCCGTCAACTTCGCCGATCCGAACTGCACCCTATTTGCTGCCTACCTCTATGAATCTATAGCTTCTCGGGGCTCCTACTGGAGATCAAACTTCCACGTCCAACCAAATGGGGTATATTAGTCCACTTTTGGTAGCTGGTACTAACCGCAAGGCTTTGATGTCTGACACCAAAGTTTCGGCAGCAAGCCCTAACTTTGAGGTCAAACTTTCGGTTTGGGTTGCCTTGGAGGTACTTTTGACTCCGTATATGTGCTTATAATCTGCCCCCCTTCTCTTCTGGATACTTTTATTATTATTATTATTTTTTCGCTTTCCCACTGATTCTGTAAGGGTCTTAACGGTTCCACTAACCATTGTTATTGACTAACTAACTATAAGGAAACGGAGTGTATGTACGTATTTTTATGGAGAATTGACGCTCTCTAATATAAACAGTGTATTATAGATCTCTCACCCCTAAGAATAGACCAGACTAGAGGTCTAAAGGAGACAAGATATGGACCTTTTATCGTGGATCCTCACAAATCTCTCCTGCTTAGATAGGAGTCATTCCATCCCATCCCTTAACACAAGTAACGCTAAGGGAAGATCGGCCTTAGATCCACCATAACGGTCGCCGGTCTAACCGGAAGGGAAATGGTTCGGGATTGATAGGCGTCATAATTCCCGAGGCTGGTAAAACTCCTTGTCATTCTGGGTCCCTTAACTCTCCTTCAATGCCAATTGGCACCTAACGGCTTCTGAATACCCCGACCAACGCAGGTGCTAATGTACGTCGACTGCACGAAGCTTGGACGGACTGTCCAAAGTGATTTCATGATCCTCTTTTATTTACGACAGTAATTTCTCTCTCTGCGCCCCTTTGTTTCCCCCCCCCCCCTTTTTTTTTACCTCTGTTGGGGCCGAGGCGTTTTTTTTCTTTTTCTTTCGCTATTTTTCTTTCTTTCTCCTCCTTTTTAAGCCGCACTCCATACATACCTCCTTTTTATTGGATCTAGTTAAGGAGGTGATACAGATGTGCGCGCCATGTTGGTGGGATCCAGGATGACGGAGACGGGCTGATCATTCGATGTAAGTACCTACCCAAATTCCCAAATTTCAAGAGGCTCCACGTTTCCCATATTTCCGTCCCTATATTCCGAGGCTGGAGGGCGCGCATCGAGGACCTCCCCAGGGCATTATTCAAAGCATCATTTACGCAAGAATGGGGGGAAAGGGGAAGAAAAGAAATTCTGATACGTAAACGAAAGAGAAGGGAAAAAATGTCTCGACTAAACTTCCCAAGGCAATGGATCCAATCATGGAGCTCTTTTGTTTTGTTTTCTTTTTCTTGTTTACCTTTCAGTGAGGTATTTCCCAACTTTACTTATGTACATTATTAGAGATAGACTATCGGTAAGCCGGCTAGAGGAAGTAAAAAAATGACTGAATGAAAATTCGAATCCGGATTATACAAGTTATCATCGGTACTGGAAACTCTCAAATCTGTTTGATCCGATTTTGTTGAGCCGGGGCCGAGGGAGTCCATGACGAGTCCATTTTAGGAACCATTATCATCATGTAATTACTCCGTAGATAGCAATCCACTTCGCAGACGCTTACTCCTTCTAGCAGGTATATGATAAGTTTAGTATCTACTATATGGCATGGTAACCGGCAAACAAGACGATGGACGCTATCGATTCTCCCCGCCCACGAATTAGTCGCGTGGCTACGATTTGCTAAGACGACTTTGTAAGTCCCACGATCTGGAGTTTGGTACGGATAGATCAACACCCTCGCAGCTGACCGACTTTTATTCTAACATGAACTAGCATTGGCGAGGGAAATCTATCAGTTCACGAGTACTCTGCAATTTGTATGGCTAAGATCTTCACCAGTGTCGGTGCCAGAGTGAACCCAAGTGGGTGATTTAATACCTGTAATCCCTCTAGTGTAGAGTGACTTCCTCCGTAGCATAAGGAGATAAATATACTTTGGCTATAAGACCCTGCGTAAAATGCGCCAAAATTCCTGGTGTTCCTTGCCTCACTGGTAAATTACAAGAAGAAGGGAGGTTAGAAAAAAAGCACAACATAAAACAAAACAAAGAAGAGAAGGATACCGAATCAAAGCCACGAGGGAGTCGACTAGTTCTCAAGAATGTATGTACTACGAAACTGAGGTTCCTCTCGGCTGCAGTGGATGGTTCCGCTCTGTTGGAACTCTCTTTAGTACGGAGTAAGGTAGTCTTTCACTGGTTAGTGGCCACTAAATCTGTACCTTAGGCCCTTTTCCCTGACTTTCTCTCTCCAACTCCACCGCGCCGCTCCTCCACTCTTTTAACCTGTTGTTTTTTCTTTTGCTTTTCCTTTTTTTTTTTTTTTTTT